GAACGGGATGCCAGGCTGGCTGCGGGGGAGGTAGCCTGTGTCTAACAGGAGTCCAAATCACTGGCCACCTCCCCCGCTAAGGTAAAATGGGAGTAGTTTCATTGAAGTCAATGGAGCAACACTGATTTGCACCAGATGGGGATCTGGCCCCATTGGCTCCATTGGAGCAAGGCCCCTTTACCCGAGCCGAGGATCCGGCCCAGTACATGTTAACCTAGACTCCAGGGCATTTGCAGTACATGATAATGAAAACCAAACAGCCTTGGTGCCTTGCATTGGGCACTCCTGAGAGCAAAGGCCGGTCAATCCCAATTGTGATCAGACTGGTTATCACCTGGCAAATGATGGCACCAAAATACAAAGGAGTAATTTCATTAATGTCATAGGCGCAGGAGAGATCCTGCCCCGAGAACGCCTTCGGGACTGGCCCAGGAGCTGTCACCTGTACAGTTCAGATGGGTGATGCCGCGCTGCTCTGAGGCTCCGCTGGGCGGTTTGTACCCATTCAAACACTTGCAGACGAAACTTCCTTCAGTGTTTGTGCAGCTGGCATTCGGGCCACACAGTGTGGAGTCCTGAGTGCATTCATCGGCATCTAAGCAAGAGAGAACAGAACCTGTTGTCGTTCGGTCACCCGGAGAGGTGCTTGTGTTACCCACTGTGGGTGGGTGTTACAGGTCCCCCCTATGTGCCAGTGTGCAAGAGGACAGAGAGTTGTTACAACCCCTGGCTACACATCCTTGGTTCTTTAACTCAAGCTCTAGCAGCCCATGCTTTCAGCTGTAGAGATCCCCCGTTTGTGAATCAACCAAGACAATGGCTGTCACACTTGGAGATGGTTAATAAGCCACATTTATCAGGGGTTAGGGTATAGAAATCATGAATGGAGCATTTAGCATGCAGGTCTGAAAACATCAGTCATTTAGAAACACAGGGATGGACAGACTGGCTCAGAGCAGTGACCCATCTAGCCCAGAATCCTGCTTTCAACAGTGGCTGGTACTAGATGCTTCAGAAGATCATTTCAGATGGTCTCATTATTTATATCAAATTCTAATCCTTCTTCAAAACCTGGTCAATTTGCAGCCTCCATGGGATACTGTGGCAGGGAGTTCCACAGGTTGATACTGCATCATGTAAAGCAAGTGCAATCTAAGCTTGCAACGTGTTCAAATTGACCTTTCCACTGCTGTAAACCTAATGAGGAGTCTTGGAACTGTTCTTCAACAAATGTGAGATAGTTTTGATGAGTATGAAATTCAGGGGGCTGCAAGGACTGCTAACCATGACTATAAGGCAGCCAAACACCACAAATGACAGAAGACATGCGACGACGCAACTGCCCACTCCTTCAGTGACAAGGAGGCCTTCAGAGTTAAGACCTTCATCATAATCATCAACAAGCTGAAGAGCTCATTAGAACATCAGATGGAGGCATTTGAACTCTGTGTATAAGCCAGTCCATACGTTTATCCGGCACGTCACCCTCCTTCACCAGCAGATTATGAAGTTCCCCTATTAAACCATTTATAAACTAGCTTTTCGCATAGGATTCTCTCCTGGCTTGGCACTGGGCATACGCTCCTATCTCCATTGCCAGACTGAGCACAGCAAGTTCTGCGGCACTCAAGCCATCTCCCAGCCCGGGGGCGCAGGGAAAGAACTATCAAACAATCTC